TGCTAGCCTCGTGTTGGCACTATTCCCATATATATTAAAGTAAGATATACTTGTGGTAGTTTCAGCATCCTCCAAGTAAGGTTGGAGAATGAGCCCTACCGCAGCGTAGCCATGTTCCCTGGTTGTGGCGAGGAGGTTTCTTTGAGTGATGCAAGAAAATCGGTAGGGACTCTTTCCTGAAGGTGATTCTCCTGTCCCAGGGACAGCTGTGAAGACTTCACTTCTCTTCCTGCTTGTCCTTCCATTTTTATTGCTGTGATGTGTCAAGAAGTACTACCAAATTCCTAAAAAAAATCTGATTTTTTATAAATTAAACCAAATAAAGCTAGCTCAGCAGGCCATATTCTGTCACTCACGTTAGCTGGTCCTAACTGCAAGAGCCTGTGCAGTACCCCCAGGTGTACCTGGTTCCCCAAGAGCCTTGCCCGCTGCGTAGATGAAGGCCGGTCCGATGCTGCTCTTGGCAGCTCACGTCGCACAGTAGGCAGGTGGGGCAGAGGGAAAAGTGGAGCAACTTCCCTGTTTGGGAGGGAAGGATGTAATTCGGACATCTTCAGGACTATCTCCAACCCATGGAAATAGATTTGATTTGTCCCAGATGTTACAACACGCTTTGCTGTATACCGACAGCCTCCGTAGCTCTTCTTTCCTGGGCCGTCGCCTGCTGGCGGTTGCGTCGCAGTGACTAGAGCGAACGTACTGGGAGCGAGTCGGGGCAAACGGTGTGAGAATTGCTGCTTCGGATATATTTTTTTCACTTGTTCTTTCCCAGAAAAATTGGTAGCTCCTCGCAGAGAGCTAATAGTAATATTTTCCAGATGAATCGGAGTCTTAAGATTTTTAGCTCAGCAATATGTGAAAAAAATCAACTCGAAGCCGGGGGAGAGCACTGGGTGGCACGTCGACAGGCACAGCTCACGCGACGTGCCTTGCAGAGGGACCTTCGGTCCTGGGCTCTGCTCCCTAGGGAGGACGTACGGATTGTGCTGTTTTGGTGTCACCATGAAAAGAGCTGTCCTCAAGGAGTGTTTTTTGCTGTGCCTGCATGGCATTCCCTGCTACCCCAACTATGGTTGTTTTCACTTTTTTTGCTGGACAGGATCGCTCCTTAGAAACTGGTGTAGCTTCACAAAGCAATAATTTGACATGCCTCAAAGCAGAGGGCAGCTGAGGGTTTGATTTTTTGCACAGTCACCGAGGACGTAGACCACCTTTACCACCAAATGCTATACACCAAGAGGTACGTGTCTAAAGGACTCCTGAAATCCCATGGAACCATTTCTGTCATGAGGTGCAAACAGGAATAAATTCTGCTGCTGCTGTTCCTAACACCCGTATTATGCACAGCTTGTCCCAGATGTCTGCTCAGAGTGAAGGTTCCCCCAGTTCTCGCCTTAATCCGTGTCCTCAGGATACCTAGACAGTTTCATTTAGGCTATGGAGTCTGTTGTGGCAGAGATCTCAATGTTCAGGCGCTCCTTAAATTCTACCTGATAATAGAAATGAGTTATCTCCAAGTATTTTTCCCATCTGGAATGCTTGGAATATTTTTATTTGTAGCCATGTTACTGCTGTTGACCATGGCCGGTTTAAGCGCAGAAGAGATACTTGCTGACCGAGTGGATATAGCAGCTTCTTTTCGCAGCGTGTGTCTCTGTGCTAAAGCCCTTATCTGTACGGGAGCGGAAGCACTTTTTATCTGTGTGAGCCGCTAGACGTCAGCTGCCAGAATACAAAATAATAAGCTGTTTCTAAGCACTGCTTTGAAGCCGCTCAGGGCGCATCCCTTTTGCTAAAACAAATGGAGTCGAAGCGGATGATAAGCTCACAATGTCTTAAAGTGAGTTTCTGAATGGGGGAAGCTAACCCGGGCATCTGAAGGTGGGTGTTTTGAAGAATCTCTGCTATAGGGCAGAAAACGCTCTCCTCAAGCGTTTTTCTCATACGGATTCCCCTGCGGTCAGTATACGTGTCCGTAAAACACGAGCCCAGGGAGGACCGGGGGCAAAGTGCGCTCCAGCGTTTAGAGCAACGGTTCCAGGAGCCTGAATTTCTGCTTCTCTCTCCCTGTGTTGCCGCTGGATTGCTTTGTAATGAGGCTTATTGAATGTCTCCCGGCCTCAGCTTGCTCTCTGAACTTCGTTTACTCTCTAGCTAACTGAGCCTAACTAAGCAGATCTTTAAATAGCAGGATTATAGAAGAACGCTGTGCTATGCCAGGT